TGCGCGAACTCTGCGTGAATATCGCGGATATTATACGATCACCGCGAAACAAACCTATACATATAAACTTTTTATACACTTATATTTATAGCAGACCTCCCCAAAATTGAAAATCTCAAAAATTTTGGAATTAAAGCCTAGTTTCCAAAAATAATGTATTTTTTTACTGACAGCTGCCGACGAAATTTCTTTAACTTGTTAAGCGTCAATTATAAAGTTACAAATTGGAATGTGATTCTACAATAATTTTTATTACTCAGTAGATTAATAACTAGATTGAAATACTAAATAGAACGAAATGCTTAAGCAAATGCAGGAACCTTCTTGTATATTAATACCTGTTTAATAAAGAAGTATTAATGATTTCAATAGGATCTTGACTATGAGAATATGTGAATTTGGAAAAAGAATCACAATAATAAAGGTACAGGCATTTGGACGATTTTCTTAAAATTCATACAAAAAGCAATGAGTTGTGAAATTGTTTATGTTCTGAATTTTGTTATGCACCTAAAGATGCTTTTTTCCACTTGTCAGCTCCATTAAATTCTTCATCTTGCTTTTAACCCGATTTAATCGAAATTTGCCACATTTGTCAAGGACCGATGTCAATACAATAATTTAATAAGTTTGTCCAATTATCCCAATAGGGCCCTTAAGTATAAACGACTTCTTCCATAACTAAAAATACGGACCACGTACAAAGGCGTTTACAACAAGTTATTGTTGCCTTAGTTTTTGTGCATACAATATTTTAAGGTTCCTTTTATGGTGTAGGGGTAAAAGAGCACAAAGGTCACCTGATGGTAAATGACTACCACCGCCCACGATGCAACTTAAGAGATACAAGTGCGTAGCCCCTCTTTTGAGTTCACCCCAAGACCTTTAGTTTCTTAGAGCTCCTCTAACCTGTAAAAAGCAGAAAAATCATTACTAAACAGCGGTTTTCTGTGAGGTTACTTTTTTGTTTAAACAGGAAAGAGTAAAGAAGTGGTTTAAGTGGCCACGCCGCCTACTACTACACTGAGTATTATGGGTCCGATCCACACATGGGACGACACTTGTGTGATCCACACTGGTGTTCTTTAGTGTCCGTTTCATGTATGTTTGTAAAGTTCCCCGCGACACAGGATATATTCCTAATGCTGTTGCCATTTGTTACCTCTTCATGCTTAAACCGCTAAACCGATTTAGATGAAATTTCTAATAGAGGTAGTCCGAGTCCCGGGAAAGGACATAGGGTAGTTTTTATCCCAGGAATCATATTTTAAGGATGTGAAAGGGGGGGGGGGGGGTTAGTTTGTATGGGGAATCAATAACTGCTGAATCGATTTAGAGATACTTTGATACTATTTACCGCGATAACCGAGCGGCCGGAGCCTCAGGAAAAATCTAGTTAAACAATAAAAGTAAAATAACAAAATATACAAAGAAAATAAAAACAATGTAAGGTTTGACAAACACATTAACAAGAAAACATTTTTCGATGTGTCATTCTTTCATACCACTGACTGAATTGGCATTAGACGTCATTGTGCCACGTATTCAACCACGCGTCTGTGAAATGTTACTTATCAACCTATGTACAACAACCAGTAAAATTTTAACAAAAAAAACCGACTTCAATGGTTTTCTCATGGATTCCATGGTCAGAACTAGACCAAATTGAAATGGGACCACACGGGAAGCACCAGCTTTCCAATAAAAAAAGAATCATCAAAATCGGTTCACCCAGTCGAAAGTTATGAGGTAACAAACATTAAAAAAAAAAAATACAGTCGAATTGAGAACCTCCTCCTTTTTTGAAGTCGGTTAAAAAACCTGAGGATTGTGTACGCCGTGGTTCAGAAAATAGGTGGACCTTCAGTATACACTGCGGTGGATAGATACCACCTTGTACTGATTTCCAGTGCCTTAGTATCTTTGTATCCATCCACTAGATGTTGGAAAAAGGGCGGATTGCTGGCTACCCTGCTTTCATCATCTAAGGCTAATGTTATGATGAGCGGTCATGTAAATCTTATATATAAAATTCTCGTGTCACAATGTTCGTTCCCGTACTCCTCCGAAACGGCTTGACCGATTCTCATGAAATTTTGTGTGCACATCGGGTAGGTCTGAGAATCGGCCAACATCTATTTTTCATACCCCTAAAAGACAAGGGTGACCCCCCCCCAAAATTTTTTTTTGAATATCTCCTAGAAATAATGTATATGGCAAAACAACGTTTGCCGGGTCAGCTAGTATATATGTATGTGTTCAGTATGTACAATAAAGAATAAATAAATAATATTTTGGACATCTAACACAAAGTCATCTAGTTTCAAACTAAGCAGAGCTTGTACTATGAAAGCTAAATTGACTGATAGAATAGTTCGTTAGTTTTTTTTTTACCTTCGTTTATTAATAGAAACTAAATAGAAACCAACATCTATTTTTCATACCCCTAAATGGTAAGGGTGACCCATCCCTAATTTTTATTTTGTTTTGCAATATATACAACGTTTGCCGGGTCAGCTAGTAGTGTATATGTATGTGTAGTATATAAACAAGATAAATCGACGAGTGTTTATAACCAAATACATTTGGACTCGACAATAACATCTAAAGATAAAATAATAAAATACTTAAAAATACGACACCGTCACCTAGTATATCTATACATCTATACAAATAAATAAAATCGAAGTGTCTGTTTGTAATGTCAAAATAATAAGTTTTTTTTCATGCTCACACGGTTATCTGCACGATAACTATGCCTTAAAACCAGTTTAAATTATTTTTGTCTGTCTGTCTGTTTATTCTGGTTAACCTTCAAAACGACTGAACCGATTTTGATAATATTTTACTACCAAACAGCTGTCTATATAAGGAGTAACTGAGGCTATTTTTCCTCTCAGAAAAACCTTATAAAATTTTGCACGGTTCGGGAATCGAACCCACCAAGGCAGTGCTTTTCGAAGTCTACAGGAACGAAGTCGCGGGTACCAGCTAGTTATAGATAAAGTACATCCAGACACAGAAGAAATGACCTTGCTCATCACACAATTATTTGTCCTGGGTGGGAATCTAACCCACGACCTCTGGTGTAGCAGTTAGGATCATTGACCACTAGAACAACAGGCCAGTCCCAAAATTTCGCCCGGTTCGGCAATCGCGAACGAAGTCGCGGATACCAGCTAGTAGAAAATATACTTATCATAGTACAAAAACAAACGTTACTGAGTAGTTGTAACCTGTTTATCGTGCAACATAGTCATAAATATGTGTTCACAAGTGTGAAAACATCGTGATGTATTATTTAAAGCGTGTTGTGGATCATTAGGTCATTGTTGAACGCTAATGACCTAGGCAATGTATAGTATTATGTGGACGTCAACCGCGCATATTCTGTTTTGTATCAAACTTGATAACGGATATGATTACACAGCGTAGGGCAGGACGATTTCTGAGCGCCTATATATAGCTTTTAAGTCTTAAAAGTAAGGTTCAAATTACGTCGTCAATTATTGTGATCAGCGTATAATCTGCACGTTCACGCCAATACCATTCGATCTCGTGTTATTCGCGGTTAATCATGCGCATGTAATTCAGACTTTAAAAACCAGGTATAAGAGTCAAAATCGTAAGTAGAGGCGATTTTAATTGTCCCTTCATTATTCCGATTCAGGGTCTTCCCTTAATGAAAGCTACTGAACTCTTTTGATGTTGTCTGAACTGCCTAGAGTTGTGTGGGGTCTAGTTAAGAGCCCTGTCGACGTGTCTTCTTACTTGGTGGCATTCACCTCATCATCATCTTCATCAATAGCCTATAATAGTCCACTGCTGGACATAGGCCTCTCCTTAGAAAGGAGGTTTCACCTGCCTAATCAAAATTCTGTCATTGCGTACTACTAAAAGTTTAGACGTGTGAGACTAATGCTTCAGCACGTATCAAAATTCTTTCGTTCCGTTTTACCGAAAGAGAGAGTGAGTGACCACCCCTTCGTCTTTCTCCTCATCCTTGAGTTGATGTTTACTAGACTTGGAAATTATTGCTACTTTGAAATCATATTCACTAAATAAAATGATTGGTTTTAGTCTCAGCGACTTCACATGTGATTGTGATTTAGTCATAGACAAAGATAAATGCCAGTAAAATCAATCAAAATCATTTTATTTTAGATTAAGACCTTTCGCGAGTCTTGCGCTAGCGTAGTAATAAGTCACAGTGGTTTCTTAAGTCAGTCACAGGCGTGATTATATGAAAAAATCATATGATTTGTCATATGTGATTGCGATTTTATACTATTCTTACTGATTACAACGCGGCGGCAGTCACTTTAGTTTCACTGTCCTCTATGCAAAGTATGAGTTTCACTAATTAAATTCACTAATAATAACACTAACAGTACATTATAACTCTAATATATATGTACTACATACTTAGTAGTTAAGCAGTTAAGGAGCAAATAATTATGACTTCCTTCAATTGCACCATTTAAGCGGATATTGGCGTCCGTTTCACCATTTATTGTCATAAATACATTTTTGTGGAATGTACGTTTGATTTAATTATATTTCTTCCATACAGCAATACTTTAAGATATTATTAGGTCCTGGCTGCTTAACTATTTCGATTCTTGTCCAAGACAAATATTGTGCCAAAATTAATATTATCATTATGAATTTATATTAGTAATATTGATTAGTGCCGTGTGGTGACGGATAAGGAATACAGATTATCACCACCCCTATTCATCCCGTGGGTGTCGTAAGAGGCGACTAAGGGAGCAAACTACGCAGGACAACAGCACTGCAGAGAGAAGGAAAACTTGACACAAACCCTATAGCAACCCTTCTGGCCAGCGTGGTATAGTAGGCCAAAACCTCCTTTCTAAGGAGAGGCCTATGTCCAGCAGTAGACTATTAAAGGCTGTTGATGATGATGATGATTAGTGCAACGGTACTGTTGCTTTTAAAAAACAGCAAAATCTAACTAAAGTGTTTTGCGTTTTCAGAACACGTATGGCAAGTGAATGTGCAGAAGAAAGGCTTGGGTGCCACTAAGAACATCCAAGGTCTCTACAACCTATGCCTCACCGATAAGACGCTAGCTCTGGTAAAGATCAAGAGTCATAACAACATCATCAGCGACCTCGGAATACCAGAGCGAGTGGAATATTCATTGAAGAACATTCGGAGGTAATCATCTTTAAATCAACTATATGATTGTTAATATTGTGGCTTAAATGGTTTACGCAGGAGAGTTTTGTGTTCAATCGTTAGTCTACCCTCTTAATTCAAGAAAAATCAAGAAGATCGAAAAGCCCAAAATCGATCTAAGTGGCGTGCAATGGGAGAAGCCTATGTTCAGCAGTGGACTGCGTTGGGCTGATGATGACGATGATTCAATGGATATGGAATTGGTAGGGTTGCCTAAGTTTTACCCTTGTCGTACTTTTTATCAAATGATAAAAAGTAACTTAACAGTATTGTCTTCTTATTTCTGGTTTTACTTTCTGCGGATTGGGCCAGGCTACTCTGACATTACAAATTGATCGTCTCCTGACAGAGAATCTGATGAACCTTGTGGTCCAGAAATCATTTCTAAATTTACACACCGGCTATAATTAAATATAGCTGTAGCATTAAAAAAATCTGTATTCAACATTTCGAGAAAAACAGCTTTTTATTCTAATGTTTAGGAATCCTGAGTCATCAATTCATCAGTTTTTTCTCGATATGAATGCAGATCATTTTAGATAATTAACTGGCATTATTAATTACGTTAATCGGTTCTACAAGACATAGTTAAATTTTAACAAGCGTTTTATACTAAAGTAAGGTTTCATCTTCATCATCATCAGCCTCCAATAGTCCACTGCTGGACATAGGACTCTCCTTAGAAAGGAGGTTTTGGCTTACTAAACCATGCTGGCCAGACGAGATGGCATAGTGTTTTTTTCAAGTTTTCCTTTTCTTGACAGTGATATTTTTTTTCAGTGTTTGCTCCCTTAGTCGGCTCTCACGACACCCACATGATGAATAGGGGGGTGACGGATTAAGAATACGGAGTATACAACGGGTTCACCTTGAACTCTAGAAATATTATGTATTTAATAAAAATAGCATAAACTGGACTTGTAATAATTACGGTAAACATATAAAGGAAACAGGACATTGCAATGTTATGACATTTATGATATTGATGTATCATAAAATGCAGACGAAGAATTTGAAATCATTATTAATTCATGTTTTTTCTCTGATATTTTTAGTTTGAATACGTACAGGAAATTGCACTAAAATATTATTTGTTGACTGGTTGGGGAAGTACGTACATTTGTACGTCGCACGCTGTACTTATTTAGTAAAGCTTATTACCTATACAGTATGTTGTTAGGTACTGTATTTGTTCTCGAACATTGCCTAAGTCAGACTTGATAAACAACATTAGTATAGCACCACAAAAATAACTAATATATGTGCGTGTGTACTTATAGGTAGGTACTTATGTAGTTACATCGGCAAACCAAAATGACTGACAAATGGGGATGACACTAAAAGTATTATTATTACTGACTGCACGGATGGCGTAGTGGTTTAAGCGGTCGCCACGCAGTTTCCTATTACGCCGAGTGTTGTGGGTTCAAACCCCACATGGGACAACACTTTGTGTGATCCACAAATTGTTGTTCTGAGTCTGGGTGTACTTTGTGTCCGTTTCATGTATGCTTGTAAACTCCCCCGCGATACATTATTGTCTCTTTTGAAAAAAAAAATCAAAAAAAAAACCTATATTGTCTAGAATTTGTTTTTTTTTTTAATAGAAACATATTAATAGACATGCAAGGCCTTTCAGCAAAAACTGTTTATTGGCAGTGCATGTCCTACTCTAGACAAATAGCTATAAAAGAGGTTCTTTCAACTTGAAGCCCCCGCTAGGGGGTCCATGGACACTCACTATTACACTTGGACCCCGTCAATATAGTCTTCGCATATGGTTGCCTGTAAGAGATCGCCTCAGAGAGATAAAACCGCTAATTTGTATTGTTTACAAAGTCAGATTTTAACTCTCAAATGTAATTTCCTTCAGTGTACAATGTCTGGGGGTTAAAGTTCAATAGAAATTGAAATAATTATTTGTCGCGTTGTGTTGGGTGTGTGTCCATGAACCCCCTAAAGGGACGACGCGGGTGTTCAAGTGGAGAGAACGACTAATGACGATAATGATCTTTCAATTAAGTATAATTTTTTATTAATATGGCAAGTTTGAAGAGTTATTGTCTTAACATTTCTGGCATAATGTTTAGTCAACCGGTGTTAAGCAATTCTTTCGTTGCCGTTCACTGCGTGAGTGAGGTTACCCGAGCCCAAATCCCTCCTCCCGCTGACTCGACCGGGAGGGACTCCAAGGGCAGCAACGCGGCGGGCGGCGGTAGTTGCTTACCATCAGGTGACCCGTCTGCTCGTTTGCCCCTTTATACCATAAAAAAAGAAGTCAATAGGCAAAACTTTAACCGTGTATACAGGAACTAACTACGAAGCGTTTGTCCAGCAGTGGACTGCGATAGACTGTAACTAAGTATCATTTATTACTTTCAGGAATCGCCGGAAAACTGTTAATAAGAAGCTTTTACTGCGTTATCAATTATTGTCTTCTGATTATTATTTAAAAGAGCAATTTAAAAATATATATTTTTAAATTTCCTTACATTTCAAATTTGCTTCGTTTTTCCCAATGATCGGTTATTATGCTTGTCGACGACGGAAAATGTCTTATTTGTTTATCTGGACTAGAGCTGATTTAAAACTTAATATGTTTCCTTAAGCAGCCATGTTTTCCTTATTGATATGGTGAAATTATTGAGGATATAGAAATAGAAGAGGATGAGTGTTTATTTGTCGTAGTTTTCAAATTATCGCTATGTTTTATCCAACTTAAAAATGGACGTAGTTTTGCATTCGGTAGTTCTTTTTATGTTGGACCAACCAATTTGGAAAATTCTTTTTTTTTAATACGGTTAAAACTCTTATTCCCAATTTTATTATAATATATATAACATAACAAAGGGTTTTGACTGGTTTCCATTACTCCAATCACCAATAAATTAAATATTGCTGCTTTCTAAACACAGTCAAACTGTCAGGCAGTTCCACATTTAAATATCCGACATTTCACAAGAGAGCACACAGATTTGAAAACTATTACATTATTAGTGTTGGAAACTATTACATTTATTTATTATCTTTCAATGTGGTGATGGATAAAGAATACGAAGTGTCACCACCCCTTTTCATCCCAGCAAGAGATAGCAAAAAACGCAGGACAACAGCACTGCAAAGAGAAGGAAAATTTGACACAAACCTTATACTAACCCGTCTGGCCAGCGTGGTATAGTAGGCCCAAACCTTTCTCAGGAGAGGCCTTATGTCCAGCAGTGGACTACTAAAGGCTGTTGATTCATGATGAATTATTAGACTATTCCAGCGTTTGGAGTCTTCTTTAATATACGAGCTTAGTTTTTGTAATAAACATACTTTCTTTTCAATACTTTTATGACGTTTCGCCTCGACTTTCCTATTAAATTTTTCACAGTAAATCCACAGTAAATGAGCAAATACTACCGCATCGCGATCAATAGGCCGTTTATTCGGTACAGTATATCATGCATACCATATAAAATAATATATAATCAACTTAAATGAAAACTCCTAAAAAGGCCGTACACAAACTAAAATTATATCATCCAAGTAAACAATAACCTTCATTAAATGTTCATAAAATGAAAACTACTGGGCCTAAGTATGTTAAATTTTTATGGGACCAAATGGCAAATATTCCGCATCAAACTAAAGAAGAATCACGTAAATCGGATCATAAATCTCAGAGTAATCGGTGTACATACATAAAAAAAAACAATCGAATTGAGAACCTCATCCTTTTTGAAGTCGGTTAAAAGAAAACAATCGAATCGAGAACCTCCTCCTTTTGAAGTCGGTTAATAATTGTAGTGCACGTATGACGCAATGGTTTAAGTGAGTTAAGTCACTACGACCAGTTTAAGAACCGCTCCGAACCATTTATTGAGTAGATAAATATACTCAAAATAGACTCTGTTGCTAAATATATACGCTATCAATTAAATGTTTCGAGGTGCACGTTATATAAGGCTATTCCGCGGCTCTGTCTGTCTATGAGTTTTGAATAAAAACTTTCGTGAGTGATATTGATCATCATCCGTGATATTGACCATCATCAGCATCCGTGTGGTGACGGATTAAGAATACGTAATGTCACCACCCCTATTCATCCCATGGGTGTCGTAAAAGTCGACTAAGTAAGAAAACTACGCAAGATAACAGCACTGCAAAGAGTAGGCCAAAACCTCCTTTCTAAGGAGAGGCCTATGTCCAGCGGTGGACTATCATAGAATGGTGATGTGTGTGATGTGAGTGATATTGATATTTAGTTAGGAGTTACACGTACACCGTCGTGGCAGGACCTCTCACTCCTGAAGGGCCAACGCACAGAGCGGATGCACTTTATGGCAATAGTTATAAAGTTTTTTTCGAGTGTAATCCTCTCCGCCGTTCTCTTCTCGGTCGGGTCCGGCCTTATCCCGGGGTAATGTAATTCCGTGACACTAGTAACAAGATTATATATGCCATGGGCGGGCATATTATTATGTTATCTCATGACTAGTGTCACGGCATTACATATTCCTTACCAACATGAATTTTCTATTATGTAAAGACAAGTATAGATGTAAATTAAAGTTAATTGAAATTAAACATTAGGTAGGTTTAGAATGTACCTACAAACATATTCATTAAAAACTGTTTAAAACGCCACCAGTAACATGTTACCTCATTAGCTGAAATTGTGTTCCTTTTGTACATAGTGTATAGTAAAGTAGGTACGAATGTAGATAGTATGTATGATCTTGGTGAAGACGCCAGAGATTTGGTATAACTTTTTTTATATATGTGTAAGTTTGTTTTTCTGTGTTTTTCGTGGTGACGGATTAAGAATACAGAGGTGTCACCACCCCTATTCATCCCGTGGGTGTCGTAAGAAGCGACTAAGGGAAAAAAACTAGGCAGGACAACAGCTCTGCAGAGAGAAGGAAAACTTGACACAAACCCTATACCAACCCGTCTGGCCAGCGCGGTATAGTATAGGCCAAAACCTCCTTTCTGAGGAGAGGCCTATGTCCAGCAGTGGACTATTAAAGGCTGTTGATGAAGGTTGTTTTTCAGTTAATGTCATTTTGGTATATATTGCGCATTCTAAAACAAAAAATAATAATTTTAATATTTGAGTAATTTTCTTGAAAATTTAGACATTCTATTAACATCATTGATATTAATTAAATATTTACAGTACAAGTTTCATCGGTCGAATTTTAAGTTCAATTTGTCAGTCTTAAAATAAGATTTATCTAACTGCCTCGGTGGTGCAGTGGTAACGTATGCGACTGCTGTTTTGAGGTCTCAGGTTTGATTCTCGTGTCGGACCAAATGTTTGTATGATCTGCAAATATTTTTTTTCGGAGTTTGGGTGTTATCTATGTATGATATGTATGTATTTACAAAAAAAAGTATTTAAGTATTCTATCAGTCAATCTAGTTTTTATAGTACAAGCTCTGCTCAGTTTGAAACTAGATGGCTTTGTATGTCAGATGTCCGAAAAAAAAAACAATTATATTTAAATCTATTAAAAATTACGATGTTTCCTATAATTGGAGCAAAAGTATGACTACAGCGTTTTGTAACATTAACCTGTGGATATTTTTTTCGCTGTAGCTTTTTGTTTTTTACAGCCTTTATATTCACTGCAGCGCCCATAAAAAACTTGCAAATGTAAGGCGGCATGCACACCGCATACGTTAAACGTTGCAGAGCTGTGTTATCACACGGCCTCACGGAAGACCAGTTTTTTGCTTTGCTTTTCATCAACTGACAGAGGTTATGACGCCCGCTCCTCTCCCCTTAATACTGGAAGGGGATGGGCGCTCGAAGGGTGGCTTTTGAGTTGCAAGATTACATGGGCGGTGTTCACTAACTATGAAATGATCCGGTTGCTCCTTTGACCTAAAAAAAATAGAACAAAAACTGACTAATACAAGTTGATTAAAAAGGATTAAAAGTTCGAAATGTCACGGACCCGTAGACATAATAATATGTAGGTATTTAAGAAATCTAATTCTGGTAATTTTATGATTTAATTACAGATGTGGCGATTCCGAATGCTTCTTCTACATGGAGGTGGGACGGCAGACGACGACCGGCGCTGGCGAGCTCTGGATGCACACTGACGATTCCAACATTGCACAGAGCATGCACTCTACCATATACCAGTATGTTGATAATATACTGAAATATCTATAAGACTTCTATATTTGAAGTATCACAAATTGCAAAGACGTCACGCCTGTGATACAAAAGAGGGGTCGAATCTCACCCTACTGCAAGTAACCTTTTCTATGGAATCTCCCAAGGTGACGACCTCACCTCACTGGGGCTCCTCCACCTTCGTTGAAGTGTTATCATCATCATAATCATCAACAGCCTTTAATAGTTTACTGCAGGACATAGGCCTCTCCTTAGAAAAGAGGGTTTGGCTTACTATACCACGCTGGCCAGACGGGTTGGCATAGGGTTTGTGTCAAGTTTTCCTTCTCTTTGCAGTGCTGTTGTCCTGCGTAGGGGGATGTCGGAATTGAACCGACTAAAACCACACGGTGTTCTGTCACATGTAACACTGAGGTTTGCTCAAAATGTTTAGAAATAGAAAATACAACCATAAAATATAACCAACTCCGTTGATAGTTTTAATAGAAATACGAGTAAAATATGATTCCCTTTTTAATTAACTATAATTAATTAAAATACTAAAAAAAGCTACCGCCGCCCGCGCCGCGCCGCAGCTGACGGTTGCAGGTGCGTTGCCGCCTTTTGAGAACCTCCCCCTTCCATTCTCTAAGGGGAAAGGCTGTGAACTCGGGTAGTCTCACTCACTCGGTAAAAACCAACGAGAGAATTTAACGTAAACTTGTCTAATTCGCCATTGATGATCTATCTCTTTTTAGCGCAATGCGCAACTGCGCACGCGAGATAGAGAACGAGCGCGACCACATCGTGATCTCAGCGGGGGAGCAGCACTCAAGAGAACGGTCGAACTCTGAGGTCAAATCTAAAGTTGGCATTGGTGGTGAGTATGCATTTCAATTTTATACTGAGCGGTTTCGGGATGGGATCTTTGGTTATACATGGAGTGTGCATTGAATAAATGTAGTTTCAGTATTAAACAGCCCCTTTACAAATATCCCCCCCCCCCCCCCTGACAACCATTTAACCCCTAACCCAAACGTATGAAACTCTTTCAACCTTCGTAGTTAGTAGAAACATAACAGCTTGTTTTGATTCTCTTATTAATGTTTTGGGACTATCGGTTAGTAGTTAGTAAAAGATGTTAAGTAGAACAAAGAATGTCCTGTTTTGAGAGGTGATTTACATATGGACGATTGTTTGCATGATTTTAGTTAAAATGGCCTCCAATTAATTTGATTACTACAATATCTGTGGTAGCCACGGGATCTAAAGCATGAAAGGTAATGACTTTGTAGTTGAGCATCTGAAATGGAGCTATGGTAGTAAGGACTTACCCACTTACAAAAAAATATGGAATAACCTGTCAAATCCCTCTTTTTTACTGTCTTTGGATTTCGAATACTGTTCCTTATTTCGCACTCCATGTATGACCAAATTATGTGTTCATGTTATGTAATTCATTTAGTTAGACACTATTATAACATTGTCTTAAGGGCTATTTTCCTTTGTCTGAACATCAGTAGTGTAGAAATGCTTGCTATCTCATTTTACATGTAGAACTAGTTAGTAGTCTGTAGTTGCTTTTTTATATAGTAAAGACTTAATTAGACGTGACTAACATTATGTCCAAAAAAACTGTTTAAATTGTCATTAAAATATTTTATAAGTAACTTTATTGTATTGCAAATAAGGTAGAATTTTGTTACTATAACTTCGAGTACGTGTTTATGAAGCAAAAATCGACTGTGAACTGGCTCGAACATTCGAGTCCAGAGTCTAGTCTAGTCCACAAAAAGACAGGCCATTTTATTTGCAGAAAAAGGTACTGAGATAATTATACAGGCGGTTAAGTTTATAGTCATATGTAAAATTAGCAAAGTTTAATTCAAAAAAACAAAGTGTCATAAGATCTCAAAAGTGAGACTTGGTACTCCTGGTGGGCAAATTTGTACTTCATGGCTACGTAAATAAAGTCGCTATTGGTTCATGTGAAAATTTAAAATCTCTAAGCCGTTTAGTAAATTGCGTTGTTATTAGTTCTGACTTTTGCCTATTGCAGTTGATCTGAGAACCAGAATCAACATTAATTTCTAATCCCTTTCATCTGCAAATAAAATAGTCAGTCTTCTCGAGTACACGAAAGTAAAAGGTAATAACCTACATGTGTGAAGTGCAACGCAAATTTGACATATAATTTCGCGGCGCTTAAGTAGGTTGTCCCTTGCAGACAAGGGGCTATGCGTGGGCTCATGCATTATACAGTGCGTGTGTGCGAGCGCCACGTACTCCATCGACGACTCAGCCGCGCAACCCGCGCTACCACTCAACGGTACAGCACCTATACATATATTGTAAACTGTTGGGCATGTTTGGGTTTGGAAGGGGCTAGTTTCATGGGCTTTACAAATATCATTTGGTTTTTATTCGTAATTGTTTACCATTTTAAATATATCCATTACATTTCAAATAGATAATAATCTATTGTATGTACGTATATGTGTACGTACGTGTAGCCAAAGTCCCTCAGCGAACTATAAAAGAGTTGCTCTTGGTGTCTCTGAGAAGCAGAATCGTAGCGAAGTGTTTTGTCACATAAATCAAGGAATTAGCAAGCTATAGTGGCATAACGATGGTCATACCGATACCTGGGGTTCTGTAGTAGTAGTTATGGAGTGGGGAGAGAATTTCTAAGGAAGCATAGTGTAAGACATCATGTGGCCAGCTGGATTAGCGATCTACGCCAAGCCGTGGAGAGCTAAAGTTTAAACTCTGTGTACATAAGGAGAGGTCTAGTCCAGCAGTGGATAATGAAAGGTTAATGATATTTATGAACCTAATGACATTAGGTGGTTAGCCGTTACATAATGTTGTCACACAGTCGAAATCCACTTAGAGAGAAGAAACTGTCTAAGATTGAAGCAATGTTTTTGCTATTAGGCCTAAATTATATAAATACAGGCTGTTTTTATATAGGTTTTCTGTAAGAGGAATCTTTATCGATATTTAAAATTCCACCGTGCGATAAAATTTATTTTGGGACAGACGAGACCTTTCTAAGGGAGAGGCCTATGTCTAGCAGTGGACTATTAAAGGCTGTTGATGGAGAGGATGATGATGAGAACTCATTTTGTAAAGGTTGGCGGACCAGATGTGTAAACTTGAATTGATTGAATATTATTTGAAATTATAAGTAGCTAAATAATATATGTTGTTTTTTTAAATTATGATTCTGAAGCTAGCTGTTCCTAAACCCCGATGACCAAATGAAAGCCCGTTGTTTTCTTCTGATGATTGGTTAGTGATCGATACATAAAGAAATAATTGTATTCAAAATATACCAAACAATTTCCCAAAGACCAATTTATGAGAATAACTTCTTTGGGAAACTTTATATTAAACATCTAATGAGTAATTTATGAGTTTGAGCTAACAACCCCACACTAAATAGAGGATCGCTTAGTCGACCCTCAAAGTATACTAGGGTGAGGTTGTCGTATTGTTCAGATTCATGGTCTATAGTTCGTTCTTCGTAGTATGTAAATACTTTTTTTTAAATTTAATTAAAGAACAAGTAAAAAGAAAAATTTTTTTACTGCACTAGTACGGACCGTCTATATTAATTATCTTATAAATTAGACAGATGATATGTTTTTGTAAATATATTTTTAGCGAAATTTGTTTATTACAATAAATCCTTTTATTTTTATGTATCGTTCATTCGTTACCAATCAACAATACGTGTTCTTAGCTTCTAAACTTGTCTTTTTGTTACAGTCTTCTGTCCTTTCATTTTACTTCTCTTTCTCAACTAATATGAGAATACAATTCTTTTGTTCTTCTACTTCTTTTGCTCTATATTCTAAAGTTGTGTGAACATTGAAGTTTCAACGTTATGTAGCAGGACACAGAGTCCAACACAAATCTGAATTTGTCATTCTATTGACTGCCAACAATCAAGATGGAAGCTTCGCTTTGTCTACTAATTACATGTGCTGTGTACTAAAATTGTAAATAAGCTTTTAGGATCAATAATTGTAACAAATACTCACAATGTAATTTGCTGGCAAATGTATCTATCAATATTATAGTATAGTTTTATACCAAACCTCAGCTTTCCGTCGTGAAAAACAAACAAATATTGTTTAAGTCAAAGTGACAAGCAGTCATGCAAACATGGCGTCCGGCACGACTGTATTATCTGTTGTGTGTCTATAATAATATTTAAAAAAAACTTTTAGTAACTGTGACTCATAATAATTGTCAGTAGTACATTTAAACTAATATTTATCTAGATATATACGTAATAAAATTATCTATACTAATATTTAAATACTTATTATATTAGATATGATATGAATATAATTATAATAAACATTAATATATAAAACACATTAATACAGTATACTCGTAGTACATTAATGTAATATATTTTAGTGATAATTTTTATTTTTTATTTTTATGGTATAAGGGGGCAAAATAGCAGACGGGTCACCTGATGGTAAACTACCGCCGCCCATGGACATCCGCAACTCAAAAGTCACAAGAGTGTTGCTGTCCTTGGAGTTCCTCCCGCTCGAGTCAGCGGGAGGGGGAATTTGGGCTCCGGTAACCTCACTCAATTTCTTGTATTACATCGATAAAGCAAGAATTTTATAACAGAAATTCGTAATATTCCCATGAAATCTTTTATTCAAATAAATGTTGCCAGTATTATAAAAAAATCGACCACTTGTGTATTGTAACTGAAAAATACTGAAATTATTTACCCAATATTTATACCATTGTATGAGTGTTACAACATAACATAGTTCTAAGCTATGTTATATAATTAACTGGAACAAATATGTGTATTCATTTAATTAATGATACTGCTGAATTTAACCGCTGTGTAATTAATGCTTTATAAGGTTTTTAAATGTTTATGTTCATCAAAGCAATAGGTTTTATAAATAAAAAACTAACAATTTTTTTTTTGTAACGTTAAAAACATGTTGAAGGCCTTCTACAGTGTGTTTGGATTTTAAGTGTAAAAATAACCTCTCATGAACATTACATAAAAGTAAGGAATATATTCGAATTCGATTAAAATTCGAAATTTAAATTTGTACGAAAATTGGACATTCGTCGGTTTGTTTTATTTTGCTTGCATGCGTATTTTTTGTTGTCGGCGCATCTTGAACAATTGGCGTATTGCATGCGGGTACCGGTGTTGGCCACGTGTTTGTGGCGCCTTCTCATAAACATATACAATAATTGTGTATATATTATTATGTCATACATTTACGGAGTTCGGCAAATCTATACAAATAAATAAAATTGGAGTGTCTGTTTGTAATATTAAAATAACCGATTTTTACTAAATGCATAATATATGTATGTTTACACGGTACATATGCCAAAATATCATTTTTTACCATTTTTGTCTGTCTGTCTGTTTGTTCCGGGTAATCTCTGGAACGGCTGGACCGATTTCGACTGGACTTTCACTGGCAGATAGCTGATGACATAAGGAGTAACTTAGGCTACTTTTTTTAGACTAGCTTCGCCCCGCGGCGTTGCCCGCGGTTATAACAACAAACGCAGGTAACACCGCGAGTCTCAGCTAGTTATTAATATTTTCTAATATTTTTATTCCAAATATGTAACTCTCTTACTTATTTGTAATATACCCATATATCAGAATTTGTATAAGATAAAATGAAATAACCGTATTTTACTTCTTTTAAATCTATTGGAACTTTAGTACATAAAATTAATTGTTATTATTTAGTTGAATAATTACTAATTTACTATCTATCGAACTATTAAAAAGAAAATAAATAAATAACAGAGTGCCACATCGGTGGCAGACAAGGATACGGCCCGCGTGATGGCCATCGTTTATCGTAGAGTGGTGCTTGCATCTGCAAAGGACTCATGCGTTACCGACCCTTAGAAATCTGTAAAATTCTTTTTTAATTAATCCTATGCTTGTTGTACCTTGGGCAACTTAACATTTTGGACCAGGTTACACTGGCTCTGACACAGGCGGTTAAGACTGCCTGTCGCCTTGTCGTTTCCATCAGTATATTCTGGTCAGGCTTAGCCAGTTTAATTAACCCGATCTGACAGGAATAGACGAAGTTATGTACGTACCAAAAAAGGTAATTCCCATTAATTTAATCAATTCTTTACGAATTTGTACCGTCTACAATAGAAAATTGCTGAACATTAAGCGGAGTCCCTTATATTAAACTATGTTTGCCGAACTCCAAATATTTTTTCATACCAAAATGTGGTACATATGAAATAGTTTATTTTAATAGAATTTATTTTATTTTTGTATCATTTTTAGTAGATAATAGGGAATATGCACGTGACACCAAAATGGACAAAATATTTTTATTTGTAATTTTTATTGCTAAAAAAAGATACCCATACAATTATTTTTGAAATTTATTATAATTTAATAGTGAAATTTAATCATCAAAAATTGGCTTTTTTAAGATTCCCTCGCAAATTTCTAAAACGCAACGCTATTGGTTGAATAAGACGTGACGTCAACCTACAATGTCAAGAGTGTCAACAAGTTGTGTGTATTTGTAATATTTGGTTTCTGGTGATTATTTGTTTCATTTTAAGTTAATAACTAATACGTTTTCAGTGTTAAATGATTAAATTCCCGTGTAGAAAGACTCAACACAATGACTGAATATACTTTGTCAGGTGCAGTTTTGATATTGTTTGGGCACAAAGGAACGGCACAATATTTATAATAAGTTTTTATTGGCTTTTCCATGGTAATAAGTTAATTTAAATCACTCACTTTTTTAACTTTCACAAACTTTGTGAACTTCACTCTGTTGTTGACATCGAATTCGTCTGAAAGTGTAATCTAACGTCACAAAAAAAGCGCGCCAAAATGGACGTGTTCAAATTACCCCAAAATGATAGTGATTTTAATATTTATTTTTTTGCTTAACGGTTTATATTTCGGATGTGTTATATTTATTTTTGGTAATGTAATAACTAGTAGAATCGTTTAAAAAATAAAAAAAATACATGCATATTCCCTATTGCCACATTTTTCACATTGTATCAAATTGACATCTTTTTAACACATTGGTAAACGATGTCATATTAAATCATTAAAATGTCCAACTTATCTGCTTGTTTCTTAGTTCTAAATCTGTTGTAGTGACAGTCTACTTACCAATCTTGTCAGGTGTTATAGGGGGAAAGGGGGAGGGGTTATATGCACTGGAGGGATGTCATATGCTGAAAATACAATTAAAATAAGTAAAACTGCATCCTAACAGGTTTTAAACGGCTAGTAACCTCTTATAACCTTAATATTAAATTCGTCATTTTGAAATCACAAACAAGAAAATGTATCTATATAAATATACTTGTATATATATGTATGTGTATCTATGCGTATTTATGACGTGTAAGTGTAGTATGTGTGTATATGTTTATATATGTAGTGAACCGTATATATTTTCATTGTACATTTGATATTATGATGTAACCTCTGTGCACCTACCTTACAAGATTTCTACATCACAAAAGGTTGACTGGAAGAGAATGCCCTGGGCATTAAGTCCGCCGATGTACAAAAGTGCATAAAGATAAATAAATAAATAAGAAAATATTTGTTTAACGAGCTTAAGTTTAGTTACTTATCTTGGGGCTTAGACGGTGACTCACACATTGTAAAGTCTCCGACAAAAATTACTTTCATTGCCCATTTTTTTTATATCTTTCGAAGAACACAATTGATGTCATCGTTTACCCCCCCCCATAACCTCGCACCGGGTGCCACTGGGTGCATAAGTTTTACTTGTAGCATATCATTGTCAACAGCCGACCACCAGAATAACACACTAACAGATAAAACAGACGCGCCCGTGCGTTTGATAAAGCATCACAGAACCGAATCATTGCCCACTGGCTGCATATTCCAAGAGCCCCTCAAGATACAACACGAACGGACGAGATCAGCCCCGTTGACTGGAGATGAAGTAGACAGGATTATGTTAGAGAAAAATATGGCCCATTCGTCCTGTAAGGCCATCAATGGAGAAAAGAAGATGCAATGGTCGAGGCGGGCCAGTACTGGGACTCGGTGGTCGAAATTGTCGCCGGCTCATTCCAAGAGTATGTATTTTTGGGGGCGTTCATGACACGCTATGTTTTTTTTGTATTTAGTGCTGATGTGTTTAGTTTGCCATCTATTTAAATTAGTATTCCATTTTTGAATGTATTAAATATATGGTAATTTAAAAAAAAAGGTTTCGAAAACTGATTAGACTTGACAAACCTTTATTATTATTTATATGTGTTAGGAACGCCCCTTAAATTCGTCCATATTTCATTTTAACCGTACATCGCTTATACTAACTCGTATATGTTTATTTGGTGTTGCCAGATGAAAGTATTTTTTTATAATGGTAGCAATATTTCCTTCCATTATAAAAATAGACTTTCTTTAATGGCAAGCTAAAATATTTTGTTGTGTGTTGTGTTTTGCATGATTCAGTCGAATAAACAGACGGACGAACAAACTGACTAATTACATGCTTGCATGTTTTTTTGTCTGCTTCTTTATTTTTATTTCACGGTGTTACTACTCTTTGTACATAAATATCATTAACGAAGGTAAGATTATGAATAACTCAACTTTTTGTTAAAGTAACTTCGCTTTTTTTAAGTTTTTTTTTTTGTAGAAATTAGTAATATTTATTACATTATATATTTAAATGCCGAAAAATCTAGTTAGTGCTTTGCTTTTTATAAAATAACTAATAATATATATATATATATATATATATATATGTATATTTATTTATTTTTTATAAAAAGACAACTCCCAAAAGGCATTAGGAATATATCCTGTGCCGCGGAGGACTTTACAAACATACATGAATCGGACACAAAGAACACCCAGACTCAGAACAACAATTTGTGGATCACAAAAAGTGTCGTTACATGTGGGGTTTGAACCCACAACACTCGGCGTAGTACGAAGCCGCGTGTCGACCGCTTAAACCACTACGCCATCCGTGCAGTCTTTACAAAATATTTCGGCATGATTACAAAATTTAAATGCAGTTAATGTAAAAACTTCCCAACTATACATGCTATACTGTTACCAAAACCACTGTTCACATGTAAAGAATGGAAATTCTTTTTACTCACTTTGTACGTCACCCACAAGTACCTAAGCAGTTGATTATCAACCAAAACTCGATTGCATAAAGTTCAATGTTACTTTCAACACATGCCAGTTTGACACACGCTACTATTGACCAAGATACACAATTGTAAACCATAGCACGTTCACGCAAAGCTGCATTTGCAGTGGGGCCGGTGTTTCTAACTGGTATATTTACTTGCAGACGCGGGTACATTACGGAGTAGGTGTGACAGTATGCCTTCGCGTCCCACTACAGCGTTCGAAGTTGAGAGACCACCGCCCAGGTTTAATGACCTTGAAGGTATGTAGGAGGATAGACAAAAGTTTTTTTTTTATTGTACGTGTGGAGATCGGATTTCACATCCACCTCGATGGTTATGCTGACTCGAAAACAACACCGGGATCATTACCTTGGTTATATGGTTTACTTCTGATCCCCTGACAAGCCGTGGCCGGCTAACAAAAAATGCAGCCCCATGCAGTGCATTTCTCCCCTTCAGAATAGAAGAGCTTGCGCTTAAGGGCTGTTTCAGCCGTCGCGTAAATTCGAAAAAATACATCATCATCATCAGCCGTTAATAGTCCACTGCTGGACCTACTATGCGGTTTGTGTCAAGTTTTCCTTCTTTTTACAGTGCTGGTGTGCTTCGTTGTTTTGAAAAAAATACATATCAGGTTTTAAACCACCTAATAAAACTTGACTTGACTTAAAAAAAAAATACAATTTGTAAATTTAGAAAAAAAACTGTTAATTATACAAAGCTACCGTCATTGTTTACTTTATTCCGGTAACTCACATCGAGCCTAATTCTTGAACTACTCTAATTCTAAATATTAAACCTACATTATAAGTAAGTAGTGAACTTCACGTGTGATGTCCTTTAGGTCCGGACATGTCACGCGACGAGCCCGACGCGATGGCGGAGTGGAGTCGTACGCCGCGCATCCCGGAAGAACCCGACTGCTGTGATATCTCCATGGATTTCATGAAGTTTGTATTTACCAACATAGTTATTAGTTATATTTTGTAATTAAATAGTTTTAAGGTATACTATCGGTGATATTAATGTTTAAATGAGAGGCCAACTATTTTGGGATATATTACAACAGCTATAAAACTCAATTCGTACCATCGGAATTAAAACAGCGATTTGTGAATCGTGCTTGCTTTTGTAAAAAGCATAAATGTACCGACAAGAAAGGGTATCAATATACTTAATACTTTAGTTACTCGATAGTTGTAAGAAGTAGTAAGTAGTAAGCGTGAACAGGTTATAATGTGTTTTTTGGACTTGGCGCTAATAGCTATTTAAAACGTTGACGTCGCGTTGTCGTCCCGCCTCGCCCACGTTCTAGTCTAACCTTTATAAGTTAAGATATATTTTTTTGTATTCTAATTTCACATTACTTTATGAAAATGAATGTAAGTATATTAAAAACAAATTTGAATAAATCTATGTGTGGTTTATAGCACATCACTAATAAGTGGCAGTTCAGTGGCGCACTCTCGCACTTCGTCCGTGGGCGAGGCGGGCGCGGGCTACCTCCACATGGGCCCGGGCCACGACCCGCTCGCAGGACTGATCTCCGCCTCCAGCGGCTCGCTATGCAGCGGCACTCCTTCCACGGATCCGAGGTTTAGGTGAGTCCACTGTCACAGTACATGTAACATGTCTAATGTTACACACACCTGCCTCGGTGGTGTAGTGGTAACGTATGCGACTGCTGTGCTGAGGTCTCGGGTTCGATTCCTCGTACGGACCAAAGGTTTATATGATCTGCAAATATTTGTTTCGGAGTTTGGGTGTTTTCTATGTATTTGTATGTATTTACAAAAAAAAATATAAGTATTCTATCAGTTAATGCAGCTTTCATAATACAAGCTGTACTTAGTTTGAAACTAGATGGCATTGTGTGTTAGATGTCCTAAATATTATTATTATACCGTATCCCTGAGTAGGCGGAGGCTTATTAAACACCTAAATGTTTTGTCAACTATCCTTTGGCTCTATTCCCGTAACAGGGGCAAGCCTAGATTAAATGGAAACATAGTACATAAGAAAATAAATACTGTGGAAAGTAACGGGTATTGTCTTATAGGGATGGGTTGCGTGTTGTAAATGATAACTCGAATAGTTTAAGATCGTATGCCGATAACTCGCACTAGCTGTTGGATTACCAGTCTTCTAAAATTCTATTTAAATACACATTTTCTCCAAGCGTATTCCTCCACTAGAGGACAACGCTTTACCACGATATGCAAATGCAAAAAATCAGCCCCTCATAGAGCCTAGTGTGAACGAAACTATATCGTGATCTAACTCAACCCTTACGCCATCTATCGAGCGCAGCGACAACAGATGTGGTTCCGCTCACAGCTAACTTATTACAATTCATCGTTCTCACTTAATTTATATTGTTACGAGCGGGGTATACAATAAATAAAAGGTGTCGGTTAATTACTTTTTGCACTGTATTTACAAACACTCACTGTAACAAACAAGAAATTAAGATAATAATAATAATAACCTCACACATCTCACACACGGCCGTCTGATCCCAAACTAGGCAGAGCCTGTGTTATGGGAACCAGACTGCTGATAAACATACTTATATATTTTTTAAATACATACATATTATATATAAATTACACCCAGACACAGAACAAATGACCGTGCTCATCATACAATATTTGTCCTGGGTGGGAATCGAACCCACGATCTCCGGCTTAGCAGTCGGGGCCACTAACCACTAGACCAACAGGCCCGTCAAATTACTATATAACTCGTTAGTCGCACTAGAAATTCACTTCAATGTTAATTCACTGTGGCGTAAAACGATACCGCCCCGTACGGCTAACACGCTCCGCTTTTATACTGCCAACGAACAACGAAATTACTAGAATAATCGCTAGCATTCGATAGTCCATTCCAGACAAATAAGAGTTTCCAGTATCAGTTACCCGTACCCGTAAACCTCCTTTCTAAGGAAAGGCCTATGTCCAGCAGTGGACTATTGTACTCTGTTGATGTGATGTGAGTTATAGATAGTTCAATTCAGTTGTGCGCGCGGCCCTATGTGTGCATGGGCTTGTAAATATACAACTTTCATTCGTGTGGCAGTCGTCGCCCGAGCACCGCGTCACTGAGTTGAACTATCTATACCCGTATCTAATATTTACAGCGCCATCTAGCTCTGCAAATATTAGAAATATTAATGACAATCTCAATAGTTGAATTTCCCTAATACTAGATGGTGCTGTCCTCCACATTTATAAAATTCTCGAACAATCGAAGTATGTAATCCTATGGCGCGATCCGATTTATAACAGCTGATGGAATACAATTGGTTGTAGCTATTTTCTACCATTTAAAAAAAGCTCAGAATGGATGTTGAGCACTGTTGACAAAACATAAATTTTACTTTTAGTCAAAACCACCGAACCGAAGCCGGTAATGTAACCGTGTTGTTTGGTTGTGTACAGTGAGTACCAGCTAGACCCCGCTATGTCCCACATCGGCATGGAGTCGCGTCCGCCACGCGCCTACAGCGTGGGCTCGCGGCCCACGGCGGGGGGCGGGGCCGGGGCCAACGCGGCCGCCGCGACGCTGGAGGGGGGCCGCCACCGCGCCTACAGCGTGGGTGCACGGCAGAGGCCGCCCAGGCACCCACACCCACGGCACCTCACCGAAGATCACATGGAAATTGACTTTTCCTATAACTCGCCCGCCAACAGAGTAAGTGCCAAAATAATGTTTTTAATAGTACCTACATACCTATATATTTTTGATTATAATATTTTTCATATGCATCATTTGTAACCGTTTACCATGGGAGGCCCATTTTGTAATGTGGCTAAAATGGGTCCGTTAACAGGGTGATGCAACAGCCATCACCAGTGATGGAAATTGTTGATACTTTTAAATCATAATTATATGATGAATAGATTGGGCGTAGTCACTGCGATTTCACGTGTGATAAATCACCCATGGGATTTGGTCATGGGGTTTGGCAAATAATAATAACTCTTTATTTCAGACGATGGTGTCCATTTTGTTAGACAAAGATAAATGCCATCAAAAACTTAAGAAAATTAAAAACCAAGCTTTTTATTAGACCAATTTTTTTTAGATTTAGACCTTTCGCGATTGTGGCGCTAGCGCAGTGGTTTTGTAAATCACTCACAATTATATGATTTATAACTCATATGATTCTAAGGCCCCACAAAAAAGTCGAATTGAAAAGCCAACATCGTTAGCACAGAACAGTGGCACAAAGTCTTAAAAGATTTTCCTATTGAAACTGATCAGCATCATTGCATTAGTTTAAGTGAAAAGCGTATTGTTATAGATGTCTTCAGTCGCCCGCACACCTCCAATATCGTGCTACAACGACCGTCCGAAGACTAACGTAGACGAGTACGTGGACATGTCTCCCCGTAACGCAGGTTACGTCGAGATGAAACCTGGTGAACCACCTTCAACCCCCTACACCACGGATGGATACGTTGAAATGAACTACGGAAGAGCAGCTACGAGGCCGATAGCCATCAGCACAGCGCGTCCAGAAAGAGTAACGAGAGTTACTGCTGCGGCGTCGCCTGACGAACCGAGGAAAAGGGCCACTCCACACGGCAGTCAAACCCTTTTTGACATGTCGTTGGACTCGCCTGCGGACCCTCAAGATCCTACGTCAACCACCCCACCAATAGACTTAACTCCTCTCGCTGATGAGCCAGCACACGCTTTATCGACAGTGAGAGAGTTGTCTGAAGATGGAAGAAAGAGTCCTGAGGTGGCCGCGTCGCCCCAGTACGTGACTCTTGCGCCAAGACGAGAGGAGAAAGACGAGTTATCATGTAACCCCTTGGCTAATAAGAGTATTGTGAGGTTGCCGGACTTGGTTGATAGCAAAGGTGAGAACAATTATTCCTTTAAGTATTAAATGTTTATCTTCTCAAGATATCAAATTTCCCAACGGCCAGATCATGTTGGTTTGTAAATTATTATTTTTTATCACAAAGAACTTCTAAACTGATGACAGTATTCAGTTTCATTATAAATATTATGTTTAATTCGAGAATTAAATTAGAATTAAAACCTTTATAACCGACTTCATGTTACAGTACTAATGAGTATTATATTTTCCCGAGTTCCGTGAATTATTAGTGATATTTTTCAAAAATTAAAATGCATTTAAAAACCGAAAATATCATTTAAGCAAAGCGATAAAAAAATTATAATTAATTCTATAAAATTACCGATTGAACTGCTTTCAATTCTGAATAAATTGGAATAATTATTTTTTATTTTCCATCTAACCATTGCAATAAAAAAAATCATTTGTTGAAGAAATGGACAAAAGAAGTTAAATTGAAAGTGTTCTTTTTTCAATTGATTAAACATTATTAGTGTTTTTATTATACAGACAAAGGTTTTTTTATGTAATTGAAGGTGAAATTTCTCAGTTGATGTTTGTATTGATTAGTAATTTGATTATTAGTATATACGAGGTAAGGTATATATTTGTTTGAACAGATGTTTGTCAATTGGGGAGGTACTCTCAAAGACTGTATGGTGAGGATATGCGAAGACAGTATTGATATGGAAGTCGTTTATGAAGTGTTGGTAGTGTTTCACATTACTAGGTGGATGGTGTTCGATTTGTAGTTTGCAGACGTGGTTTTATTGCTAGTGTAGTTTTGAAGCGGAATTTTAAATTTTTATTTAAGGTCGTAGGGAAGTATACAGATAATGAAAGTTACGATTAGGTAATTAATTTTATATCTATGTATTTAAACGGGGATGAATATCTGAAGAAGGCTGTCGAGCGATATATTTTAACAATTTGGGAGTAGACGTCGACAGTTTCAAAGTTTGAGAATTTTATATTTTAATACATCACGGTCGTGTCACAAATAGAGTCGGGGTCGTAGTTAGAAGTTTTCAGTGAGAATATAAACGTTTAAGCGAGAAAAGTGTGTCGGTTGTAACGTATGAGTGTTGTGGGGTTCGCAGCGGAGGCGGCGCTGGTGGTGGCGGGCGCGGGGGCGGGGGCGGGGGCGGGGGCGGGCGCGCTGCGGTTCAGCGTGGAGGCGCCGCTGCACTACGCCGCGCTGGACCTGGAGCCGCGCCGCGCGCCGCACCAGGCGCCGCACAGCGCCTACACGCAGATCGACTTCATCCGCAGCGAGAAGCTGCACGCCGACGCGACCTAGCCGCGCACCCCACACCCCACACCCCACACCCCACACCCCACACCCCACACCATCACCCTGCAATGTTTCATTCGATTGTCATATTTCAAAACGATGTTATGCATCCGAACGAATTTCCTGAGCCTTTTTTTTTAATAAATTCTAAAAATGTTGTACACCTAACATGAAATTATTGAAACGCTAGTTTGTATATGCATCTAAAAATCTGGTCATTATGTTCCTCTAAAACACTCGTTCAGAAATACGATATAACGCAATAATAAAACTCGACGAGTGCCGCCCGTTGTAATCTTATACGTTGAGTTATGTCATACCAAACAAATAAAAAACTAAAAAATATTTATTTAAGCTACTTAATTATTCGAAATATTTATTATGTGATAGTATATACATTCGAATAACACAAAAACTAATTTACTTAAAAAATACAAAAAAACAATATTTAACATACAATAAACTCTATTAGCACAGTGTAAAAGTTACAAACCTGTTATCAAAATCATTACTGACATTTAATTATTTATTAAGAATAGCAAAATCATTTAAATTAGATTATACAATATTTGTATAACATAACGCAATGTATACAGTCATCAATGCCACAGCTTTGTCTCTCATCGATAGTCCGTTATCTTAAAAAGGCAGTTAAATAATATATAATACAAAACGATATCCCTCATACTTTCTAGACAGTTCTAAAATATGTATACAACAGTACACAATTTTTATATCACAACATATAACATGTATATTTATGTACACAACGTGTTTATTATAATATACATTATGTATAATCCAGTACCGGTGTATACATTTTGTGGAACAGTCTGTATCTTGTATTAGACTCGATGTTGCTTGCTTCTGTTATTGTATAATACACACATTTTGTTATTAATTTTATTATTACTTTTTTTTTATAATTATTGTTATGATACTTCAGTGATCCATGTATAGCAAACTTATTTAAGTATATTGTTAAATAAGATATTATACTAAGTCTTACTCCAAATGATTCACTAAATTAACTATACATTATCATGTTATTTTATTCACTTATAATTAAATATTTATTTCTCTAGGTCTTAGTGTATCTCTCTAGTACAATCGCTGATAAAAAAAAATCATTAATATAAAATAATTGTAATTAATCAACTCCGTTAGGACTGTTTACAAGTTTTGTTGGGTCGTGTATGTTTAAAAATAAATGTTTATTAAATAAATATAAGCCACGGTTGTGAGAGAGGCCTAACAGTAGTTGGTACACGTTCTGTTCCCGAAAATACTGCCTACTGTGTTCTTAGAATACTCTGTGCAATTTTAAAACACTATATATGATGTTATATCTACACTGTTATTGTTTGATATAAGAGTACGTGTCCCATTCAAAATCTTACAACAGATTTACCTAAGTGTAAATTATAGTCAAATTATAATGTTCGTAATAAATAGATCAAAATGTATATTTATAAATTTCAAAATAGTATAGATACAATATAATACACTTAACGACACTTATACACCAAAGTATATAATATTATATTGGTTATTATAAGAATATTGAATGGGACATTAACTTGTGAATAAGTCAGTTGAATGTACAAAACCATTGCTTGTCTAGTGAACAGTCAACTAAATGAGATAGTCCTATTTGAGCTTGATATTTAGTATCTCTAACTCACTCTTACACTAATAATATACTCCCATCAGCGTTCTAGGTTACTGCTCAGCTCCTCAACATCGTAGCGTGAAGCCCATAGCCATTCTAGATAAACAAGCTACCTCACAAGAAATGTGCTTTCAAACATACAAACAAATAATATAGAGAATTAATTCTACCCATATTCAAAGTAATTCCTGACACGGATTGTGACTTTTTATATAAATAAATAAGTTTAAAAGTAGATGATTTGCAAAAGCTAAATAAAATATCAAATTATGTGAAAACGGCTACAAAACTATAGTTGTCTAATATATACGTTGACCTGTCACGGTATGGAAAACCTATACAATGACAGTTCAAGTTATACTGATTAATGTAAATATTTAAAACTTGATTAATTACGGTAGAAATTCGTCCAGCAGGTGATATATAATTAGGATGTACAGATTGTTAAATAGTGAAATATTATTAATTAATTATCGGTACCATTAACGTTGTTCACTGCTAAGACCCAAGTGTGAGTTTATTCGTCACGGTGAGCGCGTTCGGTGCTGCGATTGGTCCGCACTGAAATCTCCACCAATCGCAACGTTAAACGCGTTCGCCGTCGAGAGCGAATTAATGTGAAATAAACTTACACTTGGCCTTCTGGTAATAGAATATATATAAATAAATACATAATTTATATAATGATGTAATTTTATGTACATACACTCGCGCCTAAGCCCCAAAGGGGTAAGTAGAGGTGGATTATACGCCTACATTTAGACAAACATGTATGTAATAGTGGACAGTCTATTTCCAGACATTGAAGAAATGAAGATGGGAATACAGTAATCCCCCTAGCACGGTACTCTTATAACGCGATTTCAATCCCTCGTATAGCACGGGTATTCCCCTGTATAACGTGGGGATTTCCCACGTTATGTTTCTGTACTGTGAAATTTATAATGATGTTAAGAGTTCATAATTAGTTCATTAGTTCATAATTCGATTTAAACCCCCTTTTATCGAGAAAAATAAAAGCGCGTCATACGAAAATACTCCAACGCGGAACAAATCTACCGTGTTATATGGAGGGATTACTGTATTTAGGTAAATTAAAAAGAAATGTTAATAAGAGCGGTAAGAAAGGGATGTGTAATTTTAAATATGGAATAATCAATATTTTAAAACAGTTTTAATATATGATTCATTTTTATAAATTAGGTAAATGACAGGTGATTAGATTTTGTTTGGAAGTTATATGATTATGTTTATGTATCGGAATTAACATGATCACTTAATAGACATTAAATATCTCTGAATTTACCTTTAATCATTTAATTTTAATAAAAATTTGTTATTTTCTTATCAGAAATAGCTGCCACAATAATTTCAATGTTATTCTAAATGTCAAGCTCAAATATTACGATCTACGTAAATTATGTGTTCAATACAAATCTGTTTTAACTGGGGTTAATAACCGAAAATTATTATAGGGATATTTTTAATGAAACAAAATAAAAAACTGTTGACTAATTAAACACATAGGTGGATATTATTTTCGTTACAGTCCATTTGCGTTAAGAAAATAGTGACGCATCCATCAAGCCCCACGCTCGACCAATCAGGTGCCAAGCTTGCGTACGAAACAATAATTTCTTGGAACCTGATTGGTCAATGCGTCACTATTTTCTTAACGCGAATGGACTGTAGTTTCTTGTTACTGTCTACAAGTTCGTTAATAACTTGTTACAATAATACGTTTAGAAAGCAATATGTCTGAGCTACATATAATGTACACATAGATGACGCATAAGTGATTAACCGAGGTATTTTTGTTTAGTTTTATCGTTAATTGTTTAGCAATTATTGATGTCATATAAAATTGGACGACTTTCGTGACTATTTTTCATATTTGTAAAGGATATTGTGTTTTATTGTTTTGTATATTTTTATCAATTAATGAAGCGATCTTAACCTTCGTTGATCAGCGTTTCTGATAAAGGACCCCGGTCTGGTTTTAAACTATACTGACGCGTCGATCAAATCACCAAGGTTGACCAGGTTCCAAGCTTTTGTACAAAAAATTCAAAAATTATAACTTCTTGGAACCTCATTGGTCATGGGGGGGGGGGGGGGGGGCTTGATCCATACGTCACTATTGCCTTAAAGCGAATGGACTATAGTCGGGTATATCCATATCCTTTATAAATATCATGTTAAATCAACCAACTCCCAATTACGGATTACACAATTCTTTAAGCATTGTGTATTCTATTTATTGTCGCTTTTATAAAATAATGGGCCTTTTTTGACCAACATGTGGTTGTCGGATAGTCGAAATATATAGTTATAGTGATTCCAACCGGTCACGTGATCGCTGTTATCACATAGTCAAATGTCATTGGCCTTGCAATTGAATCGCAGCGTGCTCGAAACGACATAGACAAATAGTATAAACGATTTTTGGGGTTAAAATAGACCTTATGTTAGTACTGTTAGGGTTGGTTCTGAGTCAGCACTTTACATCAATTACGGTTACTATGTACCTACTTATTATTAACAAAAATGTCATGGACAAGTGTATTTGAGGAATGTAGATGAAATGTATATTCTCATTGCGTTTGATTCAATCTATAGAACAAGTGATTTTAATATTATAAGTGTAGAACTTGGGTTGTGGAGGTTTGACGGTATTCGCTCCGCGTAAAAAGTCTTAAGTTCAACCTAGACTTAAAAGCCGACCCCCAACCTAGTTTGGGAAAAAGTTTCGGAGGAAAAAAATAATAATTAAATGTCACTAAATTAATTTTAATTAGTTCTGGCATTCAGATTTTGTTATAAATTGACTCTAAAAAGGTCTAATATGTAAGAAAGAGACAACTTATAAATGTATTTCGTTGTTTGTCTCACTCGTGGATACATTTTGTTTTAAAACATCTTTCCTGCAATCTGTGGGAGTGATTTTATTAAAAGGGGATGTGTGTAACAGGATGCCGGGTAAGCGGAAGTGAACTATTTGATTTGCGCACGTGTCGCTAGATTTGGCCGTTAGATGGCAGGTTAGATCTCAGATACCATACATTTATATTATACTACACTTTCTATAAATTACATTTTGAGTCACTTTTATTCAAAAAATGTTTCAAGCACGCTGCTTCAAACAAAGAAAAAGTAAATTTAAGAATTATATTCCACAGCTCGAAGCTCCCTAAATAATTATCAAGTGATGGGACCTGAATATAATGCATGACTGAGTCAACACCAGTTATTTATTCTTCTAAGATATATATTCAGTGGTGACATGTTCGTACGCATCGTTGCCTTAGCTTTAATATAGGTCCATTAAAAAGCA